CCGAAAGCAGCCTCGACGCCTGTAGTAGTGACCCCTACACCCCTCGCTTTGTCTTTGCCCTTGTCAAGTCTTGTGGGCACAGAGGTGGAGGTTGAGGGGACTTCCTCAATTTTTACCTCGGCATCGGTGATGTCTAGGCCGGGAAAGTTGTCAATTTCTACGCCCATATCGCCTAAATCAACATCTTCCTCAGCAGACCTATCACCTAGAAAGGAAACAGAGGAAGGAGTAGCTTCGGAAGAAGCAGGCATAAATGGGCAGAAGTAAGGAAGGTGGAAAGAATGATAGAGAGGGGGAACACTAGTTAAGCACTCCCTAATAATCCTAGGATCAGCACAATAGCTTCTAACAGCAAGAATTCGCACGATGGAACACCAGTCTACGAAGTGGGGAAGAGGAGACAAGCAATAGTCTCGATTCCAAAAGTAAAAGAATCAAAAAGCCCAGAAATGCAATGGCCACCTCGAATTCGAGGGATCCAGAGCGAGAAAAGATGAGAAAGGGGAAAAAGGGCGTACGTAGTTAGGAAAGAGTAACGAACAACAACCTAGAGCGAAATTGGACGAAGAGAGCAATGTAAATCTTCAAATCAAACCCAGAAAACTCGTTTTTAACAAAGAATCAAGGAACCTCAAACCAGGAAGCCAAGAAATCGCAATAGAGAGAGAGAGAGAGACAGAAGAGAAGTTGAACAGTGGAAAAGGGCAGTTTTGATAGTCGTTTGAGCATTTAAAGCTTGAAAGACGTGGGTTGGACCGTGCGCAGGAATCGAGGAAGCCATGATTGTTGAAAACCGCCAAAAGACATCTCTCACATGCATCTCTCACGTGCAAGCCAAGGTCAGCCAAGCGCTAGTCTAGCTCGGTTTAAAAACAGCTCAACTCCTGCCCAAGCTTGCTTGAACCAGGGGGCTGTGGAGGCAACTGATGATACCCCAAAAAAGTTCTAAGTCCGAGCTCAGGAAATGAGGTCAAGTAGAACACAAAGAGCTCATAGAACCAGAGCTAGGGCTTCCTAGGGGGAAATGATAGTGAAATTGATAAGGGAACAACTAGATGACCATGAGGATTGAGCCAAAACGTGAAACTCTCAACCAACTAAGATTATTTCCTAAAATCAAGGAGAATCTCATTAAGGACAGGCAAAGATCTCGGCCAAGATCCCACAGAACAGGGAATAGTCTTATAAATACTATGTAACGCCTTCATGAGGAGGAGAGAGAACCCTAGAGGCACAAAAAGCCAATGTAATCTTGTAACCTCCATTATTGAAAGACAAGGAGCAAGAGTTTCCATTAAAGAGTGGATTAACCGAGCTCTCGAGTTGGTGAACCACTATATTTCTTCTGTGTCAATCATCCCAGTCCTTAAAAAAAACATCATTTTCATTTTTATACTATCATTACAAGACATAAATCCGGTTTATTGCTCATACAAGTCGGTTCACACCATCAATATTAAATCATTTTTTTTTCTTTTTTTGATAAGAAACGTCGGAAACTTCCATTAGTTCATAGTAGGGATTACAAGATTCAGAGAAGACACCAAAAATTCAGGACTACCTCTCCAAATAACAGGATCAATACAATTAAGATCAGATTTGGCCAAGACTTGAGCTGCCTCGTTTCTAGGCTGACGGATCATGAGAACGAAATCCTAGAGAAAATCATAGTATACTCCTGAATTAAATCAATAAAAGGGCCAACATATGAGAGATTCATTTGCATTTGACCAATACCTTCAATGATATTCTTTGAGTCACCTTCCACGACAACATTAGAACACCTCGTGTCTAATGTAAAACCAACTGCTCGAGATGTTGCCAGTGCTTTAACATGAATAGCAGTAGAGAGACCCGGCACAAATTGACATAGCCCAGCCACAAAAGACCCATTACAATCCATATAACCACACCCAAACCCCCAGCCTGTTCGTTGGTGAAGACAACACCATCAAATTAATTTTAAAACACCCAACTGGAGGAGGGGTCCAGTAGCAGTGATCCACATTCAAAACTGCCATCAAACTCGAAGATAAATGAGTGTGAATGGCAGTGTACTGATTCAAAAAGGACTCAGCAAAACAAACAAGCTGATTAGGGAGAAAAATATGCTGCTCTACTCTAGCTCTATTCCGGGCATACCAAATCGACCACAATAGAGTAAACACACTTCAACTTGTTTCTGTTGGAATTCCTCCACAATGAAAAGCAGAGAATCTTGGATAGAGGGAAAAACAGGCAGAAGAAAGATAATACCAGCAGCTTCCCACTCCTTGACAGAGTATGGGCATTCCAAGAATAAATGCACAATTGACTCTTGGGGATTACCACACAAAAAACCACCATCACATTCAAGCCGAAACTTACGCTGAATATTACATTGGGTGGGTAGTATATCTTGGAATAGGCTCCATGCAAAATGTTTAATCTTACTCAGGACCTTCAACTTCCAGACGAAATCACCCTTCCAATGCCCAGAACTCGAACTTGCCACACTCTCTTTACCTTTAGAGTCATGAATATTTTGGTCCATAATTAAACGATACACACTCTTCACCAAAAAATATCTAGATCTAGTAAAGTGCCATACCAAAACATCCGGAGGTAAATTACCACTTAGGGGAATAGTTGCAATCTCCTCTACTTCAAACCTCAAAAACATAGAATTAAGCAGTTCAAAATTCCAACTACTTCGCTCATGGTAAATCGGCAAACTAACAAGCATGTCATCTGCCAAATTAGAAGAGGACTAATAACCTGAAAAAAGGAGGGTCTACGAATCCTTTTATCTACTTTGACCCTTATATTGCACCCATTTCAAACACGCCAACACAATCCAGCCTCAACGACCGTACGTGCCATCAAAATACTCCTCCAAATATTTCGCCTTGAGAAACATTGCAAGCAAGGACGTTGGAGCTTGGTTTAAACTCCAAGCCTGTTTCGCCAACAGTGCAAGATTAAAAGCTTCTAAATTCCTAAAACCCATCCCACATATGAATTTTGGTAAACATAACTTATCCCAAGCCTTCCAGTGAATTTTCTTTTTCTTCTCCATGGAAACCCACCAAAAGGAACACATCATACCATTTAGGCTAATATAGAAGGCAGCAGGAAGTTTAAAACAAGACATCGCATCTGTCAGAATCGATTGGGCCACTGCCTTAATTAAAACCTCCTTGCTGGCAAACGAGAGAAGATTACTCTGCCAACCTTGAATTTGAGTCCAAACTCTCTCGTAACGAATTAAAAATTTTGCTTTTGGATTTACTCACTAAAGAGGGAAGCCCAAAATAGTTTTGATTACAATCAACAACTGGGATCTGGAGCACATCAGTGATGACCTCCTTCAGAACACTGCCCACATTATGACTAAACACCGCATCCTATTTATTGATATTAACGCTTTGATCCGATGCATGTTCGTAAGCTTCAAGGCAGCCTTTAATAACTAACCCATTCTCCCTCGTTGCTTTAGCAAAAAATACTGTCATCTGTAAAAAACAAATGCGAGAAGGATGAAACCTGTTCTTCCAATAGAGAGACCTTGTAATCGAGAATTATCTTCAGCCCGTTTAAATAACACTGATAAACCTTCAATGCACAGAAGAAAAGAGATAAGGCGAGAGGGGATCACCTTGTCTAATTCCACGTTGAGGCTTAAGAAACTTCGGAATTAAGACAGAATTGGGAAATATGCTCTGGTGAACAAACCTTCGGAATTAAGACAATATTGGTAAAATTTAGAGAGGATAAATCGTTTCCTGAATTGAGGAGGTCCAGAGCCAAAAGGGTAACATCTTTCCCAATATCAGTGGCTATAAGGGATGTCAAGCAAGAAACTTTAAAAGCTTACTTTGGTCTCTCTCTGTTCCTCGTCTTCTCCGTCTTCTTCTTTCTATTTCTGTTCTCTCCTCTTTTTTCTCTCATGTCCTTTTTGTTTAGTTGGGCGCCTGCTTCTTGTCCTCGATATACTCTGCCTAGACCCACTGTTACCCATTCGGGGTGTCATTGGGTAATAGGGTACGAAAGGATAGGATTTTATTTTTTATTCTTTTCGTTTTTACATATACGCTGTTTTATATAATTTTTTTTTTATAATATTTATCGTTTAATATAATAAAAATATAATTAATATTTTTTCTTCAAATTTACTCTTATATATGTTTTCTAATAAGTACTTAATAGATTAAATATAGGTTAAGTGTCTTTCATATTCATTTATTTTTTAATACGTATTGAATAAGGGTATTTTAGTCTTATACAATTATTTTTTACTTATATTAGAGCTATTTAATAACTTCCTTAATCCCAATAAAAAAATTTTAAACGACAGACATTTAAGAACGGAGGAAGTATATCCTAACTCATCCAAGTCAAATTCACTCATCCACTTTAAAACCCTAATCCCAAGGTTAGATCTAATCTTAACCTTTGTTTGGGAAACAAATGTATAATTCAGTAGGCCTCGTAGATTACAAAAATAATTTTGTAGTAGTTTATCATTCTCCTCGTGACTTTATCTATTCCAATCCAAACCAATTATATCCTATGTTTGGTTAACTCATCTAAGCCTAATAAAATTATACATTTTCCACATATAAATTTTTTGTTTAACAAAAAGAGAATTTTATTTATTGAAATCCAAAAATTACAAGAAGCAAAAACAGAAACTATTAAGCAAAACTGTAACTATTTTAACAAACAAAACAGTTAACTGTACATTAAAATCTGACAAAAAATCTTGTACAGCAACTATTTTAATCCTGCAACTCATCTCCTGCCCTTCAGCTCAGCTCCTGCCTTACAGACCAAAGATTTGAAGCAGAAAACTCCATAATGCCTGATGCAGTACTGCACTCCTCCTCCTCTGAACTGCCCTCCACATACAGCACCTAGTAACATTCTCAGTCCCAGACAGGCTTTAAATCAGCAGCAGTCTGCTAGAATAGCAGAAAACCAAGAAACAAAGTAATTGAAAAAAATTCTAATTACAAAAGGTTGGCTTTAATCCTTCAAAAGGATTAAAACCCATTAACTATCTTCAGCTATCCAGTCCTTAAGTGCAAAAGCAGTCCATCAGACCAGACTGCCTGCAAAACCAACCCACAACTGGATCTGATACTCTTCTAGCTGTGAAATGAGCTCCTCCTTCAACACACAGATCAGCATCTGCTCCTATGCTCTCAGGCCAGCTCATGAAAAACCTTACTCATCACAGAATAGCAGAAAGCTACAAAACAACAGATCAGCAACCATTCAGCTGCATCATGTTCTCAACTCCTTTGCTGAACTAAAATGCAGCTCCAACTGAGAATGAAATACAGGCCAGACTAGCAGCTCACAAACAGACTAACACATATACATAAAAACATATAAAAATACGGTAGAGCAGATGCTTATAGAAAAATATTTATTTATTTATTTACAAAAAACAGAGTCATTACAAGAAGCAAACAAGGCAGAGCAGCCTTATAAAACCAAACTAAAAATAATGCACAGTCGCCTTATCAAAGTAAAATGTCAAAAAACTACCAGCAAAACCAAATAGTAAGCAAAACCATTCAGTCCATAAGCTCCATTCCAGCTATCTTTCCATCTTCAAAATATCCAACAAATCAACACTAAAGCAACAGCAACAGATCAAGTATTCCCCAAAGCAGCAGCAACCTCAAAGCAGCAAAAAATAAAGACATAAGCTTGCATTGGGACAATGGTGGAGTACTTCGAACAATGTTGCTATTTAATGCATCAACAACAAAGAGTTCCCCATCTTCTGATACACGGATCGAGAAAGGCACGACCCCAAGTGCATTTCCTTCCACAACAGTTTCAACTAGGTACCCATTTTCAAATTGAAGTACATTTCCATCTACATAACATCAAAACAAAGTTTATTCACTACTGCATCAACAGATATACTATTAAATTCTTCGTTAATCACACACACACAACCACATATAATTATCCTTGTAAACACCCAATTAAATTTGAGAACATTAGTGAAAACGTTGATTCACCTGATAGGGGTGTTTTGGAGGAAGACCTAGTCGTCCATTTGAGAAGAAAGGACAAGTGCTTTATCAAGGGCGTTGTGTTAGGAAGACCATTAACACGTTCATATACATATAAATGAAAACAAAATAAAATAAGCTTACCCATCACAGAAACAAATCAACTACATCACAGAATGCGCATTAACTATGAGTATGTGTGTAAATAGAGAAATGGGTATTACCTGCTGGAGCAGCATGAGCTTGAAATTGATGAACATAAGCGACGAGGAGGGTTAAGCAAGTGAGAAAGAAAAGGGATGCTCTCATAGCTCGCTCTCAGCAATCCAAACTTAAAGAGAGAGACAGACAAACACCATATCAGAGATGTTAAGGGTGAAATTTTCAGTAGAATTTTTCAGGCAAGTGAATATAGAGATAGAGAGAGCGATGAGAAACTTACCACAAGAAGAAGCTGTGTTCTTCGTTATGTCCAGCGATGTCGTCTTCTTCGTCGACTCTATGAAGAAGCTCTCACCCACAGATGTAGAAAATTGGAGGACCTCACCATCGCCACAATCGTCTTCGCCTCTGCGCGAACCCCTGGATGAGCTTAGCTGACACAGGAGAAGGAGAAAGAGAGAAGAGGGATTCGTCACTGGACTGGAGAAAGGGGCAAATACGTCTCGAAAGGAGGTAACCAATTGGCCAGGTTTCTAAGGGGGATGGGTTATCTAATACTCCGTTTGTTACGATCAAGTCGGAGAATAAAAAATTGAAAGAATAAAAAATTGAAGGGATAAATAAAATATTATATTTGATAAAAAAAAGTGTAGAAAGGATTGAAGAGTGGATGGATTAACTTTCCTTCTAACTCACAAAAATTAATCCCTCCAAAATCGAAAGGAAAGTGAATGAAAAGTTAATTATTTGTGTTAAGATATATCTTATTTGTTTATATATCTTATGTATACATTAATTTCATATAAAAATACATATATATATATATATATATATATATATATATATATATATATATATATATATAATATAAAGTTTTGAAAATTAAAATTAAAAAAATAAAAATTTTAAATTAAAAAAAAATATTTTTTTCATCTTAACTAAGGGTAAAAATTTTCAACTCAACACGACTCAAACTCGATACGAAAATAAATAAGTCAACTCTCAACTCGACACTACACAATTAGTTAAATTAGTTAAGTTAGGTTTGACTAATATTCGACACAAACTCGTAATGACTCAATACGAATCTGACACGACTCTATTGTCACCCCTAATCATAGTCAGTACAAAAAAAAATAGTCATTTTTATTTTTCATCCATCCAATCAAACACAAATGAAGAAAAATATATATTTCCTATTTTTTATCCTTGAAAGATAAAAAGTGTATCTCTTCTATGTTTCATCCTTCTTACTTTTCATTCTCTATACCAAACGAAGCATAAGACCGGTGTATGAGAGTTAATATTTTACTGTAGCACCGGGGTTTCTAACCCACTCCTATTTTATCCTATCCCACTAGTGGACCTAGTATCCAAACACCTCCTTGAAGTACGGGGTTGGCTTTGGCATGTTGTGTTTTGCTATTAACCGCTATTTAATCTCTAATATTTTACTTATCCTGCTGCCCATTTTTGTTGTTAATGCATTGTAGGTGTTGAATCAGGCCCAATTAACTTAGAATGAGTTGTTAATGCATTAGACTTAGTTGTATAGATTAGCCGAGGGATCTTGGGAATGTTGTTCCCCTTAATGTTTTTTTTGATAGGAAAAATGGAAAGTAAGAAAGATAAAAAATAAAAATATATATTTTTAATCGTTTAAATAAGGAAAATATGAATGATACATTTTTCTTTTTTTGTGTTTGTTGGATGCATGAAAAATAAAAATGACTTTTTTTTTTTTTGTGATGGCTAAGAATTAGGGGTGACAATCAAGTCGAATCGTGTCAAATTCGTGTTGAGTTATTACGGATTTGTGTCGAACATTAGTCAAATCTAACTCAACTCATTTAACTAATTGTGTCGTGTCGAGTTGAGAGTTGACCTGTTTATTTTTGTGTCGTGTTCATGTTTGTATTCGTGTTGATCTATTTTTAATTAAAAAATAAATCCAGATTTTTAATTAAGATGGAAAAAATATTTTTTAAATTTAAAATTTTTATTTTTATTTTTAATTTTTTTTAAATATATATATATATAAAATACATATTTTATTATTGTATTTCTATATTAAATTAATGCATATATAATATATATATATTAGGAATAACTCGTGTCTAAAGGCACGGTGCAACTAAAAAAAAATCAAACATTAAATTTAAACGCGAAATAATCAAGCACTGAACTCGAATACGTACTAAACTGAAAATCTAAATTCGCCCTAAGTCACGTATCTGAAGACACTATACATAGTTCTTAAATACGAAATAATCAAACAATGAATATAAACATTCATTAAGTTAAAAATCGTTTGATAATTTTTAATGTCATGACTTTAGTGAAATAAAAAGGGTCACAAATATCACACTCAATCCTCCCTTCATGTACCAATTTATCAACTACCGCAACTCCAAGCTACATAAATGTCCTTAATTTAATCTATTCCAAATTTTCAACATCATCAAACACCACTACGTTAAAAGAACCAACTTGACATTTGAGTCATCAACTCATATATCATTCTTATTCTTCTGTCAGATTTGGGGATAAATTAATTTGACAAGACACTGACTTTAGGCTTTTTATAACAAGGAGTGTGTTAGATAGTAATTAAAACACAAATGTAGAAGTAGATAGAATTTCAAGACGTATGAAAATAACTTGTGCCTGAAGGCACTGTATAACACAAAAAATAAAAATTGAGCGCTAGTTGTGTAATATAAATATTTAAAATAACAATCTATTTTTCTTTAATGACATAACTTGCAATTATTTTGTGAAAAAAAAAGACATAACTTAGAATCAATATGAGCTATGGAAAAATTTCAATCTGTGTACATAGTGTATACATATCAAAAATTATGTTTGCCATTACATCACAATCATGTCCAGACATAACTATTTTGCCAACACAACTAAATTGAGAACTTTCAAATTTATCGATAAACGAATGATATTTTAATAAATTCTTCCAGGTAATTTAGATATGTTAAAATTCATAAGATTAGCACTTGGTAATAATTGTTAACACCAATTTGAATCATTACGCGAAACATTGTTGTAAAACTCATGAACAAATATTGGTACAGCTTCAGTTGGGCACTTTAGAGGAACATACTACCAATGTAAACTCCAAGATGACTAGTTGAGGAGGCCTAATCAATGTTCTCAAGGTGATATGATTTGCATATAAAGTAGATCACTGTCTGGATGATGCGGCCAAAGAGAATCAGTAGGGACAACCGCCACCTGCAAAGAGCAACATAAACTCCCATAAGCTTGTCACCATACCAAAACACAAATAGAAAATGAAATGCCGACTAAATTTCTATAAAACAAAGCAAAAGGAAAATGGGAATAGAAACTTTGGGCAACTGCTTGAAAACAAATTAAATCAACAAATTAGGTCTAAATAGCATTACTCATTAAAAAAAAAACTTGGGCAATTGCTTGGAAAAAATGAAGAGCAGTGGCAGAGGAAAAAACATAGGATAAAATATGTGTACTGGCTGGCTTTAAAAAGTCAGTTTGCTGGGAGAAAAACATAATTTAAAAAGGGGCTTTAGAGTTGCTACAAACGGGAGAGGAAAAACCCATAAAAATTATTGCTGAAAAACAGAGAAGAAAAATTGACAGTTCCAGCCAAGAAAAAAAGGAGAAGCTGCACATGTTGCCAAAGGAGTTGTAATTCCATTCGTTGGTTTTAAGGGCTGGTTTTGTGTGTACACTACTGAAAAATTCTGGTAAGTTGTCTCTTTAAACAACAATAACCAAATTTCAACTAACACTTCAATTGACAATAAATTTCATAAAACTCACCATCCATAAACTAATACAAAATTTCAATTAAAATTCAGCAATTATTACCCATTAACCAAATTTCATGATTAAAAATAGGAACCAACTAAAGTCAAGCAAATCAAACTCAACTGAACAATAGTATAGAACTCTGATAAAGACAATTCAAACTCATGAATTATTGCCCACGAAACAACATAACCACAAAACTCACAGATTTATTTTTTCCTTTATTTTTCTTTCCTTTTTTGGCAACCAAGCAACACCAGACGAAAAAAGGGGATACAGTTCTTTACCATTGAGATTAAGAGTTTTAGATGCAACACCACCCTAAACCATAGCACCAAGACGGCCATTACCAATGGGAAGAACATCGGTCCAGTGCCTTGCAGGTTCATTCAACCTTACCTTGAGTGGCCCTCGTAGTCTCTGATGCTACCAAGCTTTAAGATCCAATGCTCTGTTTCAAACCAGAAAGCAGTCACCATCTTCCATTGAAACCCAAAGAAAAGATAACCAACTAGGCTAATGGAAACAACAAGCTCTCAAGTCTTCCTTTTTCTTTCCAAAATCTTTGAATGTCACTGGGTTTTGCTTATATACCAACCAAAATCCCCATCTGGATTTTGCTCATATACTAGCATATGAATTGGGTCTTTCTTCTTTTACAGTTTGCTCATATACCAGTATATGGGTTTCCCCCAACCTGGGTACTGATATGGGTCTCTCTAATCCAAAGAAAATCTCAACGACCCACAAAGAAGAGAGAAGGGCGCTGTTGGGGCTGGGGGCTTGAGGAGAGGGAGAAACAGAAAGATGGGAGAAGAAGGGATGGTGGAGGGATGGGGGGAGGGTGTTTACGCAGGGAGCCGCCGCCTGTCGGCATGAATTTGGGGAAGAGACTGAGAGAGAGAGAGACACTGCGGTCGGCATGAATTTGGGGAAGAGATTGAATGAGAAGAGACTGTGAGAGAGAGAGAGATCTGTTGGGTTGGGTGAGATGGTTTTAGGGGAAAAAAATATATGGGTATAAGATTCAAATGTCTTTCTATTTTATTATATAGATATATTCGTAATAACTCGTGCCTAAAAATACTGTGTAACACAAAAAAAAAACCTACTAATCAAATAATCATGAGCCCATGTATCGCTTTCTTACCTTTTGCAATATTTCAACCATGCAATGCAGTTCAACAAA